CGCCCATTCGAAGTAGTTACCGACGCAAGCGTCATCGCCATCGGAGCCGTACTGCTATAGGACTTCGGCAACGACCTACAACCCATCGCATACGAGTCACGAAAACTGCATTCGCCCGAGAGAAATTACCCGATACACGACCGCGGAATGCTTGCGATCGTGCACGCGTTCAAAGTATGGCGCTGTTACTTGACCGACGCAGACGTGACAGTACGGACAGACCATAAATCACTACAGTACCTCCGCGCACAGCCACACCTCAACCCACGACAGATTCGTTGGCTCGATTTTCTCGAGTCAAATTTTCACTACACGGTCACCTACAAAAAGGGAGCCTCGAACATCGCCAACGCACTGACCCGCCCCACTGCCCAGATCCATGCAATACTACTCGCCCAGACCAGCCCCCTACTGACAGGCCTATTTACCCACGGGTACCAAACGGATCCATTATTCACATGAAGAAATTCGCAGCAGTTCGCAGCCGCAAGGGGAGTCTATTACGTAAAAACCGGGACCGACCGCATCTGGGTGCCTGGGTATACACTGCTACAGGAATTACTGTTACAGGAGGTACACGACGGAGTTACCTTGGGGCATTTCGGGGTAGAGAAAACACGGCAGCAGCTGCAGCGGTATTATTACTTGCCCGAAATGTTGACCGACGTACAACGACACGTGGCATCGTGTCCTACTTGCCAGCTCATGAAAACATTACGGCAGCGGCCGGCAGGACAGTTGCAGCCGATACCACCCCCAGAGCGTGCTTCGCAGCAGGTGACGATGGATTTCGTCACGGGGTTACCTGCTGGGGCGAGTGGGAACGACGTGATCCTGGTCGTTGTCGATCGATTGACGAAAATGGCACACTTCGCAGCCTGCAAAAAATCAATCACAGCCGAAGAAACAGCACGCCTCTTCATCTCCACCGTCGTTCGACTGCACGGGATACCAGCAGCAATAATCAGCGACCGCGACACGAAATTCACCAGCAACTTCTGGCGGAACCTGTGGCAGCACTTCGGCATGCGACTACAGTTCAGTTCTTCGTACCACCCCGAAACCGACGGACAGACAGAACGGACAAACCAGACAATGGAGCAACTCATCTGAGCCACGTGCGACGACCCAAGCACATGGGAACAACAGCTGCCACTCATTGAGTTCGCATACAACAACTCACCGTCCGCCACGACCCAACAGTCACCGTTTTACCTGAACTACAGACAAGACCCGACAGTACCCATGACCTCGAATCCCGACAACCCAGTGCCACGAGCACAACAGTTCGCCGAAATATTACTAGCAACACGGACCCGGGCAGCAGACGCAATTAAAAAATCGAACATCGTCTCTAAACGTAATGCCGACCGCCACCGCCGACCTATCACCTACCAATCTGACGACCTAGTTTTACTCGACACTCAGAACCTCCAACTGCCCATCACCCCAAAACTCCGCCCCCGATATTGCGGGCCATTTCGCACAAGCCACATGATTACGCCCGTCACCGCCCACCTCCTTCTCCCCGCTGACTGGTACGTCAACCCCTCATTCCACGTTAGCCTGCTTCGCCCTTACGTCCCATCCACAAGCCAACTGCCACGTAATCGCCCAGCCAGCATGACCCGACCGCCGACTGAACCAATCATCACACCCGAGAAAATTCTGAGCCACAGAGTTCGTGACCCTCGAGGAGCCCGAAGGATCTAGTTCCTGATCCGATGGAAAGACCGTACACCCACCGAAGACAACTGGGTTCCCCTGGATAGAATCGAAAACCACCCCGTCCTCACCGAGTATCTGCGCAGCCGAAACTTCAGGGATGTATACGTGCTTTCGTAAGGACCTCCTTAGGGGGGGGGGGGGGGTAGTGTAAGGAAAAAATATTTTCCTTACTTCGCGTCCCCGCTCAGCGCGTACACCACTGTAGCACCACAGTCAGCACCGTTACCACTCGCAACTCTCGCATCGACAATCCTCCCGCCACCTTCGCACATCGCACCCCGACCTCACGGCTCGGCGGGTAACCCGCGCTCCGGGCCTCCGCTTCGACATTTTCCCCAACCTCAGTCCCAGGCACGTCGCGCGAGAACCACAGTCCATTACCGTTACCACAGTAGTTTCGCTATATATTCTTCGCTCATGCCTTCGCTCATTGTACTCTTGCTTAGATAGTGCAATTCTAGCTCGCTCACTCAATTGCACTCGTAACAGTAACGTTTTCCATTGTTTTTATTATGCCGTGGATTGATGTGCCTTCAACGATGGGATTCTGCTGTAACGAATGCGCTTTGGTGACGTGGATGGTGTCCAGCGTCAATTCAAATGCGGCTCGCCAACATTGGAGCGCCTCGATGAGTGTCTGCAATCTGTGCCTGTAGGGGTGAGGGCTTCCCTGTAAAATGTCGCTCAAACCAGGGTAGTGGTGGTCGTACTCAGTCGTCGACTGCATCTCGACGACTACTTGTGATGCCTACGCGATCGCTGGGACAAGAACCCAGGGTGTGCGACGCGCCACGTCAAAACCCAGGGTCCACACACCCAGCACACTTTCATCTAGGTGCAGCCAATTCAATTTGCAGCGTTCCATTTTGCGAGCGACGGGTCGTTGGCGGCGCCGTAACCAACCCGAAAAAGGTATCTGCGTCGTGAGGAATCGCCCTGGGCAAAATGTTGTCGTCTACATTTCCACACCTGCGTGTGCGATCCCACCTCAACAGCAAATCGGGCAAGCCCTATCGCCCTTGGTTCGCCTAACCTACCACCCCTTGCTCTAGTTTATAAGTCTCACTTGCTCCAGCTGAGATTATCAAAATACGCTCGACTTCGCTCACTTGTTAACTAGCCTCAGTGTCTACCTGCCTAACTTGATTTCCCCGGCAGCAGAATACCTGGAAGCGTGCCATTCAGCCAGCTCTTTTGTAACTGACTTGCTCAGCCATGGCTTCGAGAGTTGCTCTAGCGCTCCTCGCGACCTCACTTCTCCTCACCTCAGCAGCTGCTGCTCAGTTCGCTCCCCGGCCGTCGCCTGACTCATTGCCCAAACCGGCGCCCATCTCGTCGCCCATCACGTCGCCCAGCATGTCGGCCAGCACGTCGCCCGTATCGCCACCTGCGACGACGTTTCGCGCGGAGCTGAAGCAAGTAGCGAGCATCCTCGCTGGGCAGCCGGGCTACAGCCTTCCGGCCAAAGTGTTCTCCACCCTTAGTACGCCTTCTCTTCCGTCTTGCTTGCTCTTTGCACCTCTGCTTTTCCCCTGCGACCGTGGTACTGTCTTGCTTTCTCTCTGCGCACTTGTTGTGCTTACTCATCGCACCTCGGCCCTGTTCTTAAGCCCACGCCCGCCGTTCTTATAAGCTGCGCCCTCAGGTTGTCCTGCTTTTTCGCTGAGCTCTTCTCACACCTTTACTCCGGTGTGGCCACCCGCCGCTCGTCGGCTTACACTTGCCCTGTCATCCCTCCTGCTCTGTCCTTCCGTTCCTGGCTGAGTTTCCTGGCCGCAAGGAAGGATGCATATTGTTCCCGTTTCACCCGCTCCTTTCCTTCCCTTCCCCTCCCCTTCCATCCTGTTCCCATCCCAACTGCGTTTCACTGCTGCAATATCGCGCGAGCCCATTCCCAGGCAACTTCCCGAACGGCAAGCTGAAGCTCGTCGAAAACACCACGGTTCTCGTCCCCACCGACTCCGCCCTCGCGAAATTCGGCCTTCGCGCGCTCTTCAACCCCAAGATGGTTACCAAACTCGCCCGCTACAACATCATTCGCGGGCGCTTCTCCTTCGGCCAAATGAAGAACCTTCCCCGCGGCACGCAGCTGCGCTCCCTTTACAAGAACCGCCCGGTAGAGCGCAAGGCCGTGAGCCCCGCCGCAAAGGACTGGGTGATCAAGAACAAGGACCTTCTCGAGACAAACTTTTTCCAGAAGTTCGGGACGCAAGCGAGCTCCGCCGCGCTCAACAAGCTTCTCCCGCCCGCTGGCAACGAGGTGGGGTTCGGCCGGCCCAACTCCGGCCCGCTGTCGTGGGTGCGGGTAGACAAGCCCGACCTGTTCAGCGGTAAATTCATCAAGGTGCACGGTGTGGATAACCTTATCAGGCCGCCTGCTTAAGGTGTTTTTTTATAGTTCCATCTTTAGGGAATCCTGTGGCAATCTAGTGTTAGATTTGCATTGTTCTTTCCCTTAGCAGCTCCGGTTGTGTAGATTATGTAATGCGCATAGGAAGACTTCAGAGCTGTCAATATTGTTGGGGCACAGCTCGTGCCCTGGTAGGCTGTAACTAATAATGATGTTCATGTTTACCATTTTCATACGATGTAAGCAGGTCGTGCTGATGCATTGTGGCATGTGCTGCTGTGCTGCCACCCCGTCCACTAGCTGTACCAAGCTCCTGGAACATTGCTCCAAACAGCATGAACATTGGCCGCACATGGAGCTAGACGTACACATGCTGCATGTCCACACTCCACACCACTGAAGGAATATATTAGAGAGCGTAGCGATAACGAGAGAGTTTCTGTTATGGGAATGATGTTGCGCCAGCAACTTGGTAGAGTTTCGGTAGCGTTTGCCTCTAAGGACTTGGTGAGAATTGAAGTAGCATTTGGACTTCACTAGGAATATAGAATATCTCAAACACACAAGCAAACACAAACATATATAGGCAGGCGAGGGTTTCACAAGAGGTTGCGTGGGCGCTGCGAGTAACCCAACCCCACGAAAGTGGTGTGTGGGTGAGCGAACGCGCCTCGCCAATTTCCCAACCCAACTCAGCATCGACTTCTCGCTTCCGTGCACACCACTCCACCAACACAGCAAGGAGTGGTGCGACTCTTCAAGGAAGCACCAACGACTCCCACGGGCCACGGACTCTCGCTTCTTCATGCGAACTCCTGCGCAGTTGCACATAGTCACACGTAGTCACACCCGACCTCCACCGAACTCATTCGTCGGTGCCGAGTAGACTCAGTCGTTAGGCGCCGACCTGCCAAGTCCAAGGTCAACGAAGGCCATTGCTGTCGTAGGGCCCTCTAACACTCCCCTGCCATACTATAGCAAGGCCCTTTATAATCACAGGGCATGCATACACACATACACGCCAAAACAAAGGGAAACACACACAAACGAAGCACTCTCAAAGTGAAAACACGCACCGCACCAGCCATGGATAGGCCATGGCACCATCCACATCATGGAGTGTCTAGGTCTCACTCCCCTCGCTCGAGAGCCGCACCTGCCCCACAGCCTCGAAGCAACAACTGAAGGCGGGGAAATGCAATGCCTTTGTGAGGTAGTCAGCAGGCTGCTCGCTCGTAGGGATGTACTGCAGCTGCAGCTTCCTGCGCTTGACCATGTGCTGCAGCCACATGTGACGACGCTCCATGTGCTTGAGGCTCCCCTTGAGCCCCATGCCACTTGCCACTGAAATGGCGGAGGAGTTGTCCACAAAGAGAGTCGTGGGCTCCTCACTCCTCAGCAGTTGAAACTCTGCCAGCAGGAAGCGCAGCCTGCGCGCCTCCTTCCCAGCCTCCACAGCAGCAACGTACTCAGACTCAGTGGAGGAAAGGGTGGCGCAACGAATCCGCTGGCTCGCCCATGAGACAGCAGCACCCCCGAGCACGAAGACATAGCCACCTGTGCTGGTCCTGTTCTGCTTGTCCCCTGCATCATGAGCATCGACGTAGCCCACCAGCTCCAAGGACTCCGGCCCCCCACCAAACTCCAGCGCCACATCCCTGCTCCCCACCAAGTACGTCAAGCACCGGTCCAACTCCTTCCAGTGCTGATCACTCCGCACAGTCTGGCCCGACCCCAGCTTGCTGCAGGCGAACGAGATGTCGGGACGGGTGGTACAGGCCGCGAACTGCAAGGATCCCACCTTCTGCCTGTACTCCTCCTCCTGGCGAGACTGCCATCCCACATCCTCGAAGGTCTGCACACTGAAAGGGTCAGAGGAAAGAGGGGTGCGAGGCACTCGCAGCGGCTGCTCCCCGTCAAAGAAGCGCCTATGGACCTTGTCCACATAGGCCCCCTGGTGCAGCCACAGCCTCCTCGTGGGCCTGTCCCGAATCAGCTGCAACCCCATATATTTCTCCACAGGGCTAATCTCCCGTAGCTGAAAGGCACTCTGCAGCAGGTCACGCAGCTCCGCCAGCATGCTCTGACTGCGGCTGGCAGCAAGCAGGTCATCCACATACACCAGCAGCCAGCACATCTCCCCCTCAGCATCAGTCTTGAAGTACAGAGCCTCATCCACCTTGCTCTTCTTCCATCCAGCCCCAAGCAGCACCCCATCCAAGGCCTCATACCATAGCATCGGGCTCTGCTTGAGCCCATACAGACTCTTCACCAACTTACAGGCACGAGGAGTCCCATCCTCGTAGTAGCTCGGCTGCTCCATGTAAAGGTCTCGGTCCAGCACGCCATGGAGGAACGCGTTCTTCACATCGAGCTGCATCAGGTCCAAATCAAGTGCAGCTGCAATCGCCAGAAGCACACGCACCGTCACATAGCTTCCCACAGGGGCGTACGTCTCCTCATAGTCCACCCCTGCCACCTGCGTGAACCCCTTCACCACCAGCCTCGCCTTCTCACGCTCCACTATCCCATCAGGTCGGAACTTGTGTTCAAAATCCAGCGGTTCTTCATCACATTCACCCCTTGCGGACGCGGAACCAACTCCCACGTCCCCTGCTCAATCAAGCTCCGCATCTCCTCATCCATCGCCTCCTTCACCTTGTCTCCCTTCCAGCAGCCCAAGGCCTCCTTCACTGTCATTTTCGCTATGTCCCATTGCCTCTCAGGATCAGCTGCCACGTCCGGGTCCAGGTTAGTCCACTCCTCGTCCTCCTCCTCGTCATCCAAGCCCGCTGGCTCAACCACTACAGCCCATGCGTATCGAACAGGCGGGACACCACGAGTGATGCGAGTGGAGCGACGCAGTGGTGCAGTGGTCGTCCCAGAAACCAACACACGACCAACATCTCTAATTCCCCACATCTCCTGCTCCCCTGTCTGCGGCTCCCCTGTCTGCTGCTCCCCAATCTTCTGCTCCCCTGTCTGCTGCTCCCCTGTCTCCTGCCCCTCACTCTGCTGTACTCCATCCATACTGCTCTCGTCTTGCAGCTGCTCAGTCTCAAGGCGCTGCCCGTCGGTGATCTCCACAGACGGTGGCACCTCCATCCCCCCCTCACCAACGGGCGGCGCCGTGGAAGACGAAGAAGAGGGCGGAGTAGGTGCAGGAGGGATGGAGGGTGGAAGGGGAGATGGAGTAACAGGAGGAGGAGGGGAAGCCAAGGGGGGTGAGGAGGGAAAAGGCGGGGCAGGGGGAATCACACGAGGGTAGACCGAAGGCGGAGGTGGGGTGGGGACCGCGGTAGGGACATAGGGCATAGCAGGAGGTGCGACCACCTCCTCCTCCTCCTCCGCCTCCTCGAGAGTGATCGGGAAGAATGAGGGAAGGGGCTCATAGGGCATCAAACGCCCCCCATGCTCCAACTGATGCCAAGCCTTCCATCCTGCTAAGGACATGGTCTCATAGAACACAGCTTCCACAGTGGTGATGAGGCGGTTGGACTCCAAGTCCAGCACGGCCCAGCCCTTGCTCGCAGCTGACACACCCAAGTGCAACCCCCAGCGAGCCTTAGGCGCCAGCTTCCCCCCACGCTGCGACTGTGGTACCATGTACTGCAGCATACAGCCCCAAACACGCACCATACTGACATCAGGTTTTCGTGGGAAGGCAAGCTCGTACGGCGTCACACCAGAGGGTAGTGAGGCGTGCTCCACGCGGTTGCGCACCCAGACGGCCTGAGCCAACGCCAGGTGCCACCAGTGATGCTGCACACCCATGTGCAGCAACATCGTCCGCACCGCCTCCACAATGCTGCGCATCTCCCTCTCGGCCATCCCGTTCTGCTCTGGCGTGTACGGGCATGTGAGGTCATGGGTGATGCATTTACCGTCGAGGAAGAGCGTGAAGTCGTGCCCCAGGAACTCGCCACCCCGATCAGTGCGCAGCGCCTGCACCGTGGTCTTGCACTGTCGCTCTGCCATCGGGAGCCACTTCTGGAACGCCGCCAGCGCATCACTCTTCTGGGCCAAAGGGTAGGCCCAGACATATCGCGTCTTGCGATCCTTCAGCACCAAGAAGTAGCAGCTGCCGTCCTTAGCTGCTTCACGGAAAGGGCCACACAGGTCAGCATGCACCACCCCGAGCAACTCATCCTCCTCCTCTCCCACAGAAGGAAAGGTATGACGAGTGATCTTTCCCCCAACACAGGAGACACAAGGTATGCCTGACTTGCCCCCCTTCTCCAAATCCAAGCCCTTCACTGACCCGTGAGCCGCTGTGCGCTCGATGGCATCAATACCAACGTGTGCCATACGCGCATGCCACAGGTCCCCCTTAGACCGTACGCCCGTTGCCAAGGTACGAAGTGCCACCGTTTCGCCTTCCTGCTGCTGCGTCGAACACGGCTGGAAGTTCGTGCAGAGAACACGCCCCTTGAACTCGGCACGACCAAGGAGCGATCCATCTGGTGCCCGCAGCAAAGTCACATCCCCGGCATCCAGCAGCTGCACACCACTATCACGCAGCTGCCCAACAGAGAGAAGACTCGCCTGCACTCCTGGTACGTACAGCACGTCCAGTACCAAGACACGCCTGCCCCCCTCTCCAAGAAGAGCGACTGTGCCCCGCCCCTGGACCTCCTGAAGCGCGCCGTTGAAGCCAGTAACCTGTTTAATACTGCCGCCGCTGCTCATCTCCACAAAGGCAGAACGATCTCCCATGAGATGGTGGGAGCATCCGCTATCAAGCAGCACGACGCTCGGGTTCGCCTTCACAGCAGCTGCAACAGCCTGTAAGCCCTCCCTGGCCTCAGGCTCTAGCACAACGAGAGGAGTCTGCTCCACAACGGGCTTCACCATTGCACATGATGACTGCCCGCTCCCCTGAGAGCCATCACCCCCCTTTCCGCTGCTACCTCCAGAACCCTCTCCACCGGTGTCTGCCTCCTTATCCGCCCGCTGCTGACAGTACTTAGCAACATGCCCAATTTGTCCACACACATAGCACTTCCCCTTGAAGCCCCCTTTCCCCCCCTTCGGCTGGCCATCCTTACCCCCTTTCCACTTCTCCCCTCCCCCACCAAGCCCACCCCCATTCTTAGGCTGCTGCTGCTGTGCCGTAGTGGGAGGGGAAGGGAATGAAGTCTGCTGGAATTGGGGCTTACCCTTCTTGGTAAAGACCTGGTTAGCCTGGGGAAGGAATTGGTCCTTTCGTCCCTCTGCCGCCAGCGTACACTCCTCCTCGATGATGTAGCTAGCGAGGGTGTCCTCGTCCAACTCCTTGCGCACCTGCGGCAACTTCAGCATCCTGCGTAAGAGGTTGTACTGCTGCGGCAACCCCTTCACAACGTGAGTGATGTACGACGCCTGCGAGTAATCTACGCCGGCCATCCTCAGGTTCACTAGGATCTGCTGCGCACGGTTGCAATAGGACGTAGCGGACTCGTGCTCTCCCATCTCGAGGTTAGTGAGCGCGTGCTCTAACTGACCGATGTATAGATCGTCCTTCGCCATGTACGTGTGCATAATAAACTGCCATGCCTGATAGCCGGCATCGACCTTCATGCGACACGCCTTAAGGGCGATCTGTACGGTTGGGGAGCAGCATCGGGAAATGGTGGTGAATGTCAGCAACTGCATCGCGCGGAACTGAGAGAGATGCGCAAGCGCACGCGCTGGTGGAATGGGGGTGGTGCCATCTATAAATCGCTTTAGCTGAGCGATCTCAAGCTGCGGCTCGATTGATTCTGTCCGCGTCGACAGGTCGTGACGTCCTTCTAACGGCCTAGTGACAACGATCTTGTCTGGAGTGAATCTAAAGTAGCCATAGTTGGGGGCTATTCCCTCGTCCCTCGACATCGATCCAATCGGGGTAACGCCCGGCATAGCCTCACTATCAAACTCTTCCGCAATTCCTCCTACAGCAACGCTCCGCCGTCCTACATTCGCATGCTCTCGTGACGCTGCTGCACGATGAACACGCTCCTGTACACCGCCAACGCTAGCCGTACTAAACCGAGTTGGTCCTCGCAGGACCCCACGCGACATCAACCCATCAAACTCCTCGTCATCGCTGTTTCCGCCATCGACAGCCATATCCCACGCACTAGTACCTCCCGCAACTTGCTCAACATTCTCTACACGTGGCGAAGGGTGCTCACGACGCCGACGCGAGCGCAATCCCTCCAACATTAGCTCGTATTCGATATCACTAATCTCACCACGAGAATGACGAGCCACGAGATCCTCCTCTAGGGCGCGCAAATTACCGGCCTCCACGTTCGCCTCCTCTGTACTCATCCTCTACGACGTCTCTATAAGCTACCACAAATTAAAATAAAGTGTCCCTTCCTTAAATCCCTCGTCTCGGGGTCACCTCACAAGGGTCCTCAGACGAGTGGTAATAAATTACCAAACGCCCTATCCTTGGTTCCGAGAACGTAACTGGAGGGAAATCAAGAGAGGTTCAACTTGTCAGAACATTATAGTTTACTTATTTGTGTAGGCTATAGTGGGGTATCCCATAGGGGGTACAACCCAATTAGGGTTTCCTATTCGTACTCACTTCGTTCATAGTCATTTCATTCTCGTTCTATTCTTCTCATGGTATCGAGCAGGTTCCCCTGTGGGAACTGTGCTTAGGGCCCACCACTACTTCGAACTTTTTTTTTACCCGGAGCGCGCTCCGGGCTCTCTCTCTTACCTCTGTCGACCGGCCCTTAGCCGCCCGCGCGCCGCCCATTCAGGCCTCACGCCGCCTGCGCGCCGCCCTAGACGCTAGCGCGCCGCCCGTCCCGGCCCCGTGCAGCCCGCGCGCCGCCCTTAGCAGCCCGCGCGCCGCCCTTAGCAGCCCGCGCGCCGCCCTAAGCAGCCCGCGCGCCGCCCTAAGCAGCCCGCGCGCCGCTCGCCCGACCCCAGGCCGCCCACGCGCCGTCCGCGCGCCGCCCTTAGCCGCCCGCGCGCCGCCCGCCAGGCCTCAGGCCGCCCACGCTCCGCCCGCGCGCCGCCCTTAACCGCCCACGTGCCGCCCGTGCGCCGCCCTTAGCCGCCCGAAGCGCAGCCCGTGAGCCGCCTGTGAGCCACCAGTGGTCCTCACTGGGCACGCAGACGCTTCTTGGGCTCACGACCAAGCTACGCAGCGGTCGTCACAGGGTTACACCTTCAGCCTTGGTTCCGGCTCTGTTTCGTGGCGGGCTACCCGCTCGTCTTCTGTCCTCGGCTCCAGTTGTGAGGCTGAGATCTACGCCGGGGCTATGGCTGCCCAGGAGCTTCGCTGGCTCACCTACCTGCTGACCGACCTTGGAGAGCCGCCTCGTTCTCCTCCAGTCCTGTACGTAGACAACAAGGCCATGCTGGCCTTCTGTCGAGAGCAGCGACTGGAGCACAGGACAAAGCACATTGCTCTCCGCTACTTTCTTGCTCGTGAGTTACAGCAGCGTGGACAGTTGCGACTTGCGTACGTGGCCTCTGAGGCCAACACTGCTGATGTCTTCACCAAGGCACTTGCGCCTTGTGATCATCAGCACTGCTGCACACAGCTGGGTCTTGTGTCTGTCTTGCCTCACTTGCTCACTTCTTGACCTTGCTTGTACCTTCACCTATATATACTCTTGCCCTTGCTTGCTTGACTCTTGTATATCTCTGTATATGATCTTGCATGTGGACTGGCCTTCTGGCCTTTGAACTTGTGCTCGGAATGTGTGGTGACTTTGTGATCCACCCTGAGCTTTGCTTTGCTTTGCTTGACTGGTCTTGTGACCCCTTGTTCTCCCCCACTTTGCCTATGGGGGTGTGTCAGAACATTATAGCTTACTTATTTGTGTAGGCTATAGTGGGGTATCCCATAGGGGGTACAACCCAATTAGGGTTTCCAATTTGTACTCACTTCGTTCATAGTCATTTCATTCTCGTTCTATTCTTCTCACAACTTAGATTAATAAGCGCCCTTCACTAACGCCGCACGCCAAGGCGAGTATACGAACGCGAATATCAACGACGATGGAAATCTTGTCAGTAGAGCTACACTGTGAGATCCCCGATCGATCCTAGGGGGGGTTACAGGCGCGTTTGCCTGGGGGGTTATGGGCGCACTGACCCGCTATTGAAACAAGCCCTTTTATCCCAATGGTCTAGTGGTTGGGATTCTGACATGGTATCAGAGCGGTCTCGGGTTCGAATCCCGGTGTATGCACATGTTGGCCGTTGCCACTGTGCTCAGTCCTGGGCCTCCCAGTGTGGGGGGGTGTCAGTAGAGCTACACTGTGAGATCCCCGATCGATCCTAGGGGGGGTTACAGGCGCGTTTGCCTGGGGGGTTATGGGCGCACTGACCCGCTACTGAAACAAGCCCTTTTATCCCAATGGTCTAGTGGCTGGGATTCTGACAAATCTATGCGTGTTCGTTCCACGCTCACCGCACTAAGAAGGAATATATTAGAGAGCGTAGCGACAACGAGAGAGTTTCTGTTATGGGAATGATGTTGCGTCAGCAACTTGGTAGAGTTTCGGTAGCGTTTGCCTCTAAGGACTTGGTGAGAATTGAAGTAGCATTTGGACTTCACTAGGAACATAGAATATATCAAACACACAAGCAAACACAAACATATATAGGCAGGCGAGGGTTTCACAAGAGGTTGCGTGGGCGCTGCGAGTAACCCAACCCCACGAAAGTGGTGTGTGGGTGAGCGAACACGCCTCGCCAATTTCCCAACCCAACTCAGCATCGACTTCTCGCTTCCGTGCACACCACTCCACCAACACAGCAAGGAGTGGTGCGACTCTTCAAGGAAGCACCAACGACTCCCACGGACTCTCGCTTCTTCATGTGAACTCCTGCGCAGTTGCACATAGTCACACGTAGTCACACCCGACCTCCACCGAACTCATTCGTCGGTGCCGAGTAGACTCAGCCGTTAGGCGCCGACCTGCCAAGTCCAAGGTCAACGAAGGCCATTGCTGTCGTAGGGCCCTCTAACAACCACATGCTGCTGCATTGCACCATGTGGTGAATACTCTGACAGCAGGGGCTGTGGGGGTTCCATGACTCACACGCATCACAAGCTGTATCCGGGGAGACACATGGCGTCAGGGGCTGTTTTAGGGGTGACATTATCACGTCACGTGCTGTACCTTGGAATGTGTCACACCAGGGCTACATCATGCTTGCTGTTTGTCTCTGGCACCATGAAAGCCACTGGTCGTGGAGCTCCAAATACGGTATGTGTTGAGTTATTAAATGCTATAGATCATAGCTCGAAGACCTACCGACTATTCTATTGAAATGTAAAAAACTAACTAGTCTTAATATTGGCAGACGTGACGCTCCAAACACACGGTACACACGGTACCGTGACACGCGGTATGTGTTGAGTTAATGCTATAAATCATAGCTCGAAGACGTACCGTACCTTAGGGTACGTTCGTGTGGAGACACTTGTGTCTCAAACCCTTTGTGACACCGGAAATCAGCATATGTCGTAGTGTGTCACAAACGCGGACCGCATTACTTCGATTCACACAGTATTTTACATTGGTTGGCGGGAATTGCGGGGGTGTCGCGGACGAGTTACATGAGGCCCCGTCACCTTGCGGAAATTGCACGCGTCCCGAAATGTCACCCTGTACTGCATGCACCTGGACAATCAAACAGGGCAATTTTCGAGCGGGAAAGGAAAACCGCCCTGCCCCTGCAGACAGATGACTGGTGGATGCGACCGTCATGACACATCCCTGCCCGACTTCCAACACACCATTCCAACTACGCAGACAGCACTCACCCGCCCCAGTCCATTCTTGTTCTACAAACCCCTTCTCTCTCTCCTTCCTGTTTCTTGTTCCTTCTTCCCAGTCGTAGCCATGGCCCGAAAGCGCAAGAGCGCCGCTAGCACTGCTGACTTGTGCCTGCGGGATCTCAACGAGATCCCATACATCGCTTGGATGAACAAGCAGCTCGCGGCCGGCCGCAAGCCCGCCAGCCCCCTGCCCAATGGTGCGCCCGGTGCGGGAGACACCTCGTTCGAAGCCCCGCGTGACGTGCCTACCCGCGGACGCCCTCATGCCGACCGGGTTGCATCATCCCGCGTCGTGGACGACGAGGCCTTCGACGACGATCCTGATTTCAATGATTGCGACGAGGCGTACGACGACGACGCGGACTCTGGCGAGGAGCCGGACAAGGGCATGTCCCCCTCCGAGGACAAAGACGACGGCGACGAGGACGCTGAAGACGACGAGGACGTTCCCGAGGAGGCACAACCCACTACCCCGCCTACCCGTCGCGGCCGTGCGTCTACTGCGGCCGGAACCAAGACTGCCGCAAAGGGCGGAGAGCCTCCTCGTGGCGCGTCGAAGACGCGCAACCTGAACCCTGTCAGGTGGAGCGTGTGGTCTACCCGCGAGAGCACCATTTTCGTCGCAGCTCGTTGGTTCATGAAGGACGAGCTGGGCGCTCTCCTCGGCAAGCAGGGATCCCAGTACTGGGCCCGCCTCGTGCGTCATTTCGAGCAGGAGAACCCCGGGTGGGTCCGCGGCGTGAACGCACTACAGAAGCAGTGGCGCAACCTCGTTAACGTGTACAAGCAGATCAAGAAGGGGGAGAAGGCGAGTGGCAAGGGGGCGGTGTGCAAGCCTCCATGGTACCCGTACATGGCGCTATTCCAGAACAACAAGGCTGTTGGTAACCCACACGCTGTCGACGGTGGTGGCGCGGCTCACGTCAACGTGCCGTGCGGTTTCGCGGTCCCGTCGCCATCAGCACCATGCACATCTTCTCCGACTTTCACCGGTGAGTTTGCAACAACTCTGATGTTCGGACCTTAACGTTTTGGTGTGGCACTTGTGCAACTTTGTTTTAGGGTAGGGAAGAAATGTGACGTAATATCACACACTAGTCAGCTACTGATGCAACTCTACGTGGCTCACGTATGCAGCACCAACGCCGCAGGGGACGCCTACGTCGAAGCGCCCACTGGTGGTGGAGACCGCAACGGTGGCCGCCGCCAAGCTGGTGTGTGACACAATCAAGGGCTGCCACTCCGACGTGATGAATCGTATCGAAGTCCTCGTCCACGCATGGATGGAGCAGGATGCGCGGATTGCACGCGAACGCGTGCAGCAGCCCGCCCCCTTCCCGCTTGCCCACGACGGCATCCCTGGGCATGCGACGCCCGCCGCCGAAGGAGGCGACGACGGCTGGCTCCGCCGCGGGCAAACGGGCGACAACGCCTCTAACCCTGATGCGGGCGAGGATGTGTGGGTTCGCGGCGCCGACGAGTGAGGTAAGACGACTCCAGAGCCTCGCCCAACCGCTTGCGCCGTCCTCGCAAATTAGCCTGCGTGCACGGGTTGCACGGCTCCCACTTGAATTCGCTGACTGCACCACGAGTCCACCACGGGTCTTGGTTTCGGGGCAAGTTCGCCCACGACGCATTCACCCGCCTAACCGCTCCCATCGTTTCACACATGTTGTGCAGGATGACGCCACAAGACGCCCCTGCAAGAATGCGCCAGAGCACGCAATCATTGCGGCCCGCGAATAGACGCCACCGGCCCTTGAATGCGCCGATGCAACGCTCTACTGCCATGCGCGTAGCGCTTTGGTAGTAGTTGAAGCACTGCTCCCAGTCATCCATTAGGCCTTCACGGGGTGCATGTAGGGGGGTCAGGCAGAAGTCCCTGAGTGGGTAGGCAGCATCTCCCACAATTTGGTATGGTGCAATGTCGCCGTTGTGCAACCTTTCGTGTAACGCGCTGTTCATGAACACCCTCTGATCGTGTGCAGTGCCCGGGTATCCTACCAAGTAGTCCCAAATGATGCCGCGAGCATCGCATGTGATCTGCAGCTGCACGGCGTAGCATGACTTGCGCGTGTAGTACTCTTGCCTGTGCCCCTCCATCCCCTTCATGGGTATGTGTGTGCCGTCTATAGCCCCCACCACCGCAGGGACTCCCTTGATGGCGCGAAACTCCTCCGCCATCTCATCGAGGTCGTCACGGCTCGGGAAGTGGACCCACTGCTGCTTGAAGGCCGTCGGGAAGTGCATGAGGAGCGCATCTACCAGCGTGTGGCACAGCGTCTTGGACAGGCCAAAGACTGCGGACAGGTCTCGAAACGACATGCCGCTGGCCAGGTATTTGATAGCCACAAGGCATGCCACCTCGTGCGTGATCAAGTATCTGTCAACGTAGGGCTGCATGTAGTGCGCCATCCCGTTGACAATGTAGTCAAGAATTGCGTGGTTGATGCGAAACAAATCCCTGAATTCTTCCTCCCCCATGCCTTCCAGGTCCTCTAGCAGCAGCTGGTACCTGCGCCGGCGAAGCCCTGACCTCCTTTTCCGCTCGGCGGTGAGGTTGGAGCCACGCGAGCTAGAAGCCGATGACACTTCCTCGGTGAACACGTTCGCCTCCAGCAAGCCGCCGACAGATCTGGAGACGGCGTCCATGAAGATGGTGTAGTAGAACGTGACCCATGCGACGAGCAGCCGCATGAGGAAGGGCACGTCGCGAGGCTGTGCCATGGATGCTAGACTGGGAGGCACATTATGACTAGTGGGGTGGTGGTTTTGTACTTGTGCCAGTGTTTGCTGCTATAGTTGAACACAAGCCTGTGTGTGTAGTGTTTCTGTGATGCCCGACTCGACCCATTTGCAACACCATTCACCGTGTCTAGACGCCGCCGCGACATTCATTGCGGGTTGCGCTTTTTTGGACTGGGATGCCCGGCGGGAAAACAACAGCGGGGTCAATCCAAGTGGCCGCCACCAATAGAAAGCGCCCACCTGGCCGGTCCCATCTGTCGCTCCGATTCGAGGTTCATTGGTTGTTTGAGACACAACATTTTGCAAATTTACAGGCGCGATCCGGTAAAACGGGGGTTGAGACACAAGTGTCTCCACAGGAACGTACCCTTAATGTTGAACACTAACTATTCTCAATATGGGCAGACATGACGTCCCATGGTTTGATGTTGCGTCCCGAGTTGGTTTCAGTAAAATGTGATCGATTTACAGCATTATACGCATATTCAAAACAACTAGGAGGACGTGGTCATAAATGTTCCAATCATTGCATTATGAAAAGGCTTTATGAGTGTTTCCAAAAGCTCTACCATGATCCGAACAATTTACGCCAGGACGATATATCGAGGAAGTGTCAGTTTCATCGTTGTCGTCACCTTGAAGCTGCCGAACCAGCCTCGGTTTTCCCAGAAAACAGGAAAACTCAGGGCAGTCAAAAGCGCAGGGATTGTCAGAACTTGCATCTAGCCCACGAGTGGAAACTTGGCTACGCGAGTCTTGCGGAGTTAGTCAGAGCTTTCTCAATCCTGTTTGCTTCTCCCTTTTCAACAGCGCTTCTCGCGCAATCCTTTGCATGTCATAGAAATACCCTTCGCATCCCTTTCCTCGTTTTTAAACCGCTGTTTTTCGAATTGCTGGTATTTATTTACGCATGGATCGCTGTGCCTGGCTAAAAGCGCAGCCATGGCTCAATCCGCATGCATCTCTGAACCGCAGCCGTGTTAGCGATCCTGACACCCCTCTCAATGCTAACGGGCCTAGCACCGAACCAGCTGGTTCGGTCGCTGAACCAGCTAATCCTGCAAACCTTCCCTCTCCGGAGCCTAGCTGGGTCTTTAAGGGCTTCGGAAGCTTCCACGTCAGCGCGTCGGAACAATACGGATCGCCGTCCGTTGGAAGGCTTTCACAGCACCTTGAGAATGTCGGTTCACATCACAACGAGCATGTATTGACTGGAACGCCATCTCGTCATGATGAGCCTCGGAATGATGAGCTGCAGGGTTTTCTCGCTCCCGACGCCATTCACCTCGAGTTTGCCGTGGACCAGCGGAACCCTAACGCCACGCTTTTCGTGAGTGTAATGGGTGTGAATCTATTGGTGTGAATGTTACAAGAGGCGTGTGGAGTGTTGGTTCCAGGCAGTGGTTGAGGCGTTTTGAGGCGTGTGGAGTGTTAGGGGTACTTTTATGATAAGGCCATTAATCCCTCGTTCTATCCCGTACCTTTCATCCTATCTCATTTCTTTCATATATCTCCTCTTAACTTGTGTATCTGGTCTTAACCTGTATTTTTACTCTTATCATGTAGTTTTCATCTTATTCTGTACCTCTCATCGTATTGTGCTCTGTTCCTGTATCAGGGTTTCCGAGTGGGCTGCCTGATCCGGCCTTCACTCATGAATAGGACTCATCGTGTTCTGTACTGTCTCCCACATTCTATCTCTCTCATTCGTGGAATCCCGTACTGTTCCTGTATCAGGTTGTCCGAGTGGGCTGCCTGATCCAGCCCGCCCTCACGTCAACTGATTACGAGCCAACAGTGACAACGCCAGCGTCAACACCAGCTCCAGCTACAACAGCTGCAGCAACACCAGCAGCACCAGCAATATCCGCACCAGCAGCAGCATCAGTAGCACCCTGTGCAGAGACACCAGCAGCAGGCCGAGCCCCAGAATCAAAGTCCCCACCAGCTACACGACTCAGGTATGATGAAGGGCATGTCCTATCCAGCCATTATGATGCTTGCCTGGAAGAGGGAAATGGGAGAGGGGGATGGGTTGTGTTTCGCCTCTGTCTCGGTGTTGTGAATGCGTCTTCTTCTCTTCCAAGCTAAGACCTACCACGTCCTCCTGCTGTTTCAGGACTGTGCTCGATTTTGGGACAAATGGCGTTTTCCTATTGGACGCCTCTGCTGTCCGCCAGCTCATCAGAGGCACCCGGACGTTGCCATGCTCCACGTGTCATCAGCTGGAAGGGGGTTGCAACAAAAAGCTTGGAAGTGACCAACAGCATGGTAACGAATGCGTTGGTGGTTACCATCAGCACTGTAACCAGCGTTATCGTGGTAACAATGATGATACCAGATGCCACAGTACCGAGGGCCAGGGTATGGCTGGTGGCTGCTTGAAAAGGAAACTCTTCCAGGAAAGCGTGGGGGCCAAAAAGGGCATTACGAAGAGAAGAAGAAGAACGGAGGTGGTTGCTGGAGTTTCTAAGTGTGATTGTGAAGTAGGTGGGGGAGGGGTTGGATTGGGAGGGAGTGAGGACGAGGATGGAGACGACAGGATGGGGAGAAAAAGGAAGGGAGGGAGAAAGGGAGCACGCATCAGAGGGAAGCGGATGAGGGTTGCTAGGGCGGACAACAGTCAACAGGGTAAGAAAGGAGCAGGGAGATCGAGGAGGAATCGAGGAGTGGGTGGAGTGTCAAAGGGTTTTGCACTGAAGCGTGGGATGGGTGGGAGAAAGGGAGGAGCACGAGGGAGGAAGAGTAGTCGGAGCAAGGGGGCTTGTGGTCGGCTGGATGGTGAAGAGGAGGCGGAAAGGTTGAGGGTGAGGGGGCAGAGGGAGGAGGGAGAGGAAGGAGGGGAGGGAGGGGAGAGAGGGAGACATTTAGAAGAGGAGGATAGCGATGTGGTTCTGGTGGAGGGACCTGGGGAGGGGAGGCTGGGCGAGGAGGAGAAAGAGGGGTGCGCTGGTGTGGGGAGTGGTGCTGCGGGTGTGGGGGGCGATGAGGGGAATAGGACCTTGGACGCGTCTCAGAAATCCGTTGGTGTGGGGAGTGATGAGGGAAGTAAACGTTTGGACGCGTCTCAGAAAGGTGTTGGTGTGGGGAGTGAAGAGGGGAGTAAGGACTGGAAGGAGAGGAATGTAATCTGCACCCAATATCCAGCCAGAACGAATAACGAGGCATCTACTAACAGGGATAGGAACTTGATCTGTACTCAGTTTTTTGCTATCGAGCCAAGGAGTGGGGAAGTGGGGAGCGGAGAGGGGGAGGAAGGAGAAGGAGAGGAGGTTGAGGAGATTATAATGGAGGAGAGGGAGGAAGACGAGGAGACTGAGGAGGGGGAAGAGGAGGGAGACGATGAGGGAAAGGATGAGGAGGAAAAGGAAGAAGACGAGGAGGAGGATGAGGAGGAGGAGGAGGAGGAGGAGGAGGAGGAGGAGGAGGAGGAGGAGGAGGAGGAGGAGGAGGAGGAGGGGGAGGAGGAAGAGGAGGAGGAAGAAGAGGAGGAAGAGGAAGCGGACGGGGGCAAGGAAGGAGATGATACCAAAGGAGCAAATGATGAGGATGGAAGAGGTATCGAGTGGTATGGGGGGGATGAGGGGAGCCCAGATGAGCACAGAGTTTTGACAGACGAGAGGGGTGGCAGGGGTGGGGAGAAGGACCACCATATAGGGCGCCTGCACTCCTGTGCAGCATGCATGCACGGCTGGGGTAAGGGGAACGATAATGGACTCGTGCACTCCTGCACCGCCTTTGTGCACGCTGTGCCGTATGTCAGCCTGCTGCTGCCGCATGTCACCTTCACTCTGCATGGGCTGTGCGGTCCAGATGAGCAAGGGGAAAAAGGAGATCTAGAGGAGCAAGAGCCAGATGTTGAAAGGTATGTGCTTTTCGTCTATCTTGGTTTCTCGATCCCAATTGACATCGTCCCTCCACTTGCAGCGTACTCAAACCTCCCATCCCATCCCATTTTGGCTGGCCTTTTTTCCTCATGGTGGGGATTTCTGCCTGCGTGCACCTTTCATGGCCCATGCACCTTGTAGTGTTGTTTTTATCTGTGAGCGGCCCATGATGCTGGAGTCTCACCACTTCCTGCTTGCTTGTGGTTCCAAACCCTGCTTCCTCCGGTTTTTGAATTTTGAGTCGACTGAGAAGTAACCTTGCTCTGAGCTCTCCATGTTGCCGACCAAAGTCGTGTCTAATTCATCCCTGCTTGCAGTGTGGTTCTCACTGTAGCAGCTTCAATGGCAGCAGCAGCAGAAGAAGCAGAAGCACCATTAGAAACAGAAGAATCATCAACGGCAACTGCTTTAACTACCACCCTCTCTCCAGCTCTCTCCTTCCCTCTCCCGGCCTTCTACCGGTGGGCATCAGCGTGTGAGCGGTTGAGTGCAGCAGCAGTGGGGGCCACGGAGGCCTGTGGGGCGGACAGCTGGCTCATGTCACACCTGCTGCTGCAATCAGTAAGACCACCAGACCGTTTTGTTTTAATTATGTTCACTGCGTGATCGTCATGTGTCTCAACGGCTGGTGTCTGCGTTGTCTACAGTAGTACTACAGAGGCCTGTGGGGCGGACAGCTGCCTCATGTCACACCTGCTGCTGCAATCAGTATGTCTGTTTTTTGTTTTCGTTTTACACATATACACATGTATATCTGTAAGCATATGGTTAATAGATGTAAGACCTGCGAAACGTAGTGTGCTCCGCCCCAAGTAAGGGGTGCTAACTGCCAGGGTCGTTTCTCCATCGTAACGAGGTTTTTAAAGTTCTAAGACGTCTTCCCCCTTACCATCAGGTTCATTTCTCGTGTACCGGAGAGGTGGCACATGGAGAGATGGTGGCAGGGGCTGCATCAATACACATGCAGTATGCAAGGGCACAGGTGAGTGCTGTAGTCTTGGGACCTCTCAAAATCCCAACAGGCTCGTTTCTCTTCTATCGGAGAGTCGGCACATGGAGAGATGGTGGCAGAGGCTGCAACAGGATGCATGCAGAATGCAAGAGCACAGGTGAGTCTCGAGTTTTAATCTCCAGTCCGTCCTCTTACCCCTCTTCTGACCTGTTGGTATTTTCTTTCGAGTCCGCCTCCCTCGCGTGCCTGTGTTGCTTTATCTCTGGCAGGACAAGCTGAGGAAATTGTTTTGAGTCGACTAAAAAAGTCACCTCCTCCCTCTCGTGCCCGTTACGCTTCATCTTTGGTAGGAAGAGCTGACGAAATCCTCCTTCCCATGTTCATTTTTCTTCCTCTCCAATCCTCCCTCCTTCCCATATCCGTTTTCCTTACTCTTTTGCAGGACGACCTGAGAAAGGCCCTCGAAGCTTGCCGGTTGCAGGCGTCTAGGCGCAGGGGCGGACCTGCCAGCCCTGCTGGGATACAGGACTTGAGCTTCCTGCTTGACAAGGTATGTGGCGATTGATATGTAGGGGGAATTGGAGAAATGTGTTAGCATTTGTGTGCAGGCGTCTAGGCGCATGGGAACACCTACCGGGTCCGGTCCTGCTGCGATGAGGGATGTGAGCTCCCTCCCTGCTTGACAAGGTGTGTGTGGTGGGGTGAGGTGATTGATGTGAAGGGTTGCATGTGAGCTGGAAGTTGGAGCTATGTGCATGGACCTTACATATCTATATTCCAATAATGCCAATTTTACCGTTTCTGTCTTGCCTGTGCAGGTTGGCTATCTTCAGAAGCAGCTGCTTCTTGTGAACATTTTTGGTGGCAGAGTTTGAAAAAATGCTCAGTAGGTGTAAGAACTTAATTACATCCAAATTGCTCTGGCATCGGGGATGTAGCTCAGATGGTAGAGCGCTCGCTTAGCATGCGAGAGGTATGGGGATCGATACCCCACTTCTCCACTGTTTTCTCCTTCCTTCCAGTTTGTTGTTCCTCGTGAAAGGATGTCGCATTCCTCTAATCGTCGTTCCTTCACCCGCGGCGCTTGGTGTCTTGGCGTTTTCTTTAACGGCTAGTTGACGGAGCTTGCTGTCAGGTAGGCGCAAAATGGACATTTGCGAGTAGCGGTGTACGCTGGCCTTAGGGGCGCGTTTGACTGACCCCTCTCTCTCTCAAGCACAATGCAGCATCACCCACCGCAGTGACTTCGTGCCGACTCGGGGTGACTTAACGAACCATCGATGTGACGTCGCGAATCGTCGAGACGGCGCAACGGATTGCAGGCATACAGGGCCTTCGTTGTAGGGAATTCTAAAAAAAGCCTTCAAGACGGCGCAACGGATTGCAGGCATACAGGGCCTTCTCGATTGGAGCGGTAGCGAGGGCCCGCGCTGCTAACCGTGACAGCGTAGCGTATCGGCCGTCGTTATAACGCGTATGGAGCAGGATCGCCGCCGACTAGTCACCCGCGCGACTGTGGTGTTGGTCGCGTTCGGCACGCGAGGGGACGTGCAGCCACTTGCGGTAGACTCTTCCTCCTCGTCTTAGCCCCTCCTCGTCTTAGCCCCTCCTCGTCTTAGCCCCTCCTCGTCTTAGCCCCTCCTCGTCTTAGCCCCTCCTCGCTTCCCTCCCCGCCTTCCCCCTTCGTCTTTCCTCCTCGCCTTTTCCCTGCGCGACCTTCCACCTCCTCGCTTTCCTCGCTTCTCCCCCTCCTCGCTTTCCTCGCCTTTCCCCCTCCTCGCTTTCCTCGCCTTTCCCCCTCCTCGCCTTTCCCCCTCTTCGCTTTTCCCCCTCCTCGCCTCTCCCTCTTCTCGCCTTTCCGTACCTTCCCCCCTTCCCTCAAATACCCTTAACCGCCTCCTCCCCCTCTCTTGCACCCCATTCCCCCACTTTCATTCCCGCTCCGTGTAGGTGCTAGCGTTTGTAAGGCGCAATTCTCCTTCCCCCCCTTTCACCTTATTCCCCCACATTCATTCCCGCTCTGTGTAGGTGCTAGCATCAGCACTCGCCGCACAGGGGGTCAAAGATGTGATAGGAAAGGGTGCAGGAGAAGAGGGGGAGGAGGGATGGGAGGGAGAGGGGGAAAATCGTGGAGGTTACGGGGGAAAAGAGGTCAGGGGAAGGAGGAGGAGAGAAACGTCGATGGCAGTGTGGTTTGTGACTCATCACGAGCACCAGGTGTGGTTTCCTCTTCAGGTCTCTGTTTCCTCTTCAGGTCTCTATTTCCTCTTCAGGTCTCTGTTCTGTTTCCTCTTCAGGTCTCTGTTTCCTCTTCAGGTCTCTGTTTCCTCTTCAGGTCTCTGTTTCCTCTTCAGGTCTCTGTTTCCTCTTCAGGTCCCTGTTTCCTCTTCTGGTCTCTGTTACTGTTTCTCGAGGTCTGTGAAGTATCATGTACACTTCTTCAATGTGTCGCATACGTTTCAGGCAAATAAAGATTCCGTTGTTCCACTCCCCTTTTCTTCTCTGGTGTTCCGTGCCTTACTGGCAGCGCAGCCTTGGGCCGAGCCTAACCGCACACGGAGTGGGCTTTGTGGGAGTTTCTTCTCCTGCCTTCAAGAAACGAGAGGGCAAGGAGATGACAGAGGAGAAAGCAGAACAGGAAAGGAGGAGTGGAGAACCGTTAGAAATGAGAGAGGAGGGAGAGGGGTTAGGGGAAGTAGGGAAGGGAGAAGGGATTGGGGAAGGCGAAGGGGAAGGGGAGCGAGGGGAGGCGAAGGAGGGAGGGGAGATTGACCAGGGAAAGGGGAGAAAGCGAAGGAGGATCATTCGCTTGAGTGAAGGAAATGAAGAGGAGAACGAAGGGGGGGATACAAACGATGACGAAGAGGAGGGGTGGGGAGAAGAGGAGGAGGGGTGGGGAGAAGAGGAGGAGGGACGTCATCGCAGGGAATGCTTTGAAGCCATTAAGAAGTGCCTGGAAGCTTGTGACGGGGCAGAGGGGACGAAGGGGGCGGAGGGGGCGGAGGGGGCGGAAGAGGCGGATGATGCAGAAGGGACGAAGGGGCTGGAGGAGCAAGGTGGCAGCAGCCTGAGCAGCATGGGTGACGAGCAGCCGCAAGAGACACACAAGCTTATAGTCTTTAACCTGTTTGCCCTTGTAAGGTGCTCTGCTCCTTCCTTTCCACCCACCAGCACTGCTCCCATCAGCTCCGCCTGCAAGTCTGGGAGTTCAGGCCGTGCCATGAATAAACTCTCCGTGCCATTGCAGTATCATCCCACATGCGACTTTTGAGTCGACTCAAAAGTCACCTCATTTTGAGTCGGCTAAAAGGCACCTCATTTTGAGTCGACTCAATGGTCGCCATTGCAGTATAATCCCACATGCCCTTTGGTGTGCGTCGGTAAGCCTGACCTGACATGAACTCTCTGTGATTTCTTTGATGTTTGGGCTCTGTTGTGTTGTGTTGTGTTCCACGTGCCCGTATTCCTCTTGCCTGTGGTGCCTGCAGGAAGCATGGCACATAGCGGAACATTTCGAAGTCAAGTGCATGGCTGCTGCGCCCTACGTCATGCCTTACAGGTCAGAGAGAGAAGCACACTGAATCTCTCACCCGTCTCGTAGTTGCCACGACCGTTGCCCATCTCACTTCCCACGTCCTGTTCTGTGCGGTTTGCCCTGTTCTCACTTCGCATCTCATTCCCCCCCCCCCCTGATCCCTACAGGCCTCCCCACCAGTTCCCTTCGCTCTTTGCTCGCAGCCACCCGTCCCTTTTCCGCCGGTTGCAACGAGCAGTTAGCCCACACGAGGTGAGTGTGAAGGTGGCTTTTGAGTCGACTCAAAAGTTGCTTCGCTCTTTGCCGCAGCCACCCGTCCCTTTTCCGCCGGTTGCAGCAAGCAGTCAGTCAGCCCACACGAGGTGGATGTGGCTGCTTCTTACTCTCCTTCTATGCCCCCCTACCTTCTTGCCTCCTCCCCTGCCCTCATATGCCCCCGTGCCCTCATATGCCCCCATGCCCTCATATGCCCCCATGCCCTCATGTGCCCCCGTGCCCTCCCTCCCTCCCTCCCTCCCCCGCTTCTTTCCCCACCTCCCCATTCCCCCCCCTACCACCCATCCCTCATCCCCCTCTCCCAGCTATCATGGGCGGAGGTGTCAGAATGGATGTGGCCGCTGCTCTTCCCCTGCCACCGGTGGGCACGGTGGAGGGAAGCTTCTCTGTGCCTTCCTCCCTGCGCTCTCCTGGTTTGTCCTCCTCCCACATCCTTCAGGATGCCTTTAGGTCCTCTAGAACCTCATGTTTACGCCTTTAGGTCCTCTAGAACTTCATGTTTACGCCTTTAGGTCCTCTAGAACTTCATGTTTACGCCTTTAGGTCCTCTAGAACTTCATGTTTATGCCTTTAGGTCCTCTAGAACTTCATGTTCATGCCACCCCTCCCCCTCCCCCCTCCTCTCCCCTCCCCCCTCCCCTCCCCGCTCCTCCTCCCCCCTCTCCCCCTCCCCCACCACTTCCCCCTCCCCTCCCCGCGCCCTCCCCTCCTGTCTCGTTTTCCTGAGTGATTTAGCACACACTGCTATTGTCGTGTGTACTTCTTTCGTACAGGGCTCAGCTAGACCGTCTTTTGAGGAGTTTTGAGGTTCCTGAAACATCGCCGCACTTGGCACCTGTGCAGTGCAGTGCAGGTTCCAGTATGCAGCGACTTTTGAGGCGCCGCAAAAGACTTCTGAGGGGCCTCAAAAGTCACCTGTGCAGTGCAGGGTCCGGTATGCAGCGACTTCTGAGGCGCCTTTTGAGTCGACTCAAAAGTCACCTTGCACTTTGCACCTGTGCAGTGCCGGGTCCAGTATGCAGCGACTTTTGAGGTGCCGCAAAAGTCGTCTCTTAACCCGCAATCTTTGCACGTGTGCAGGATCCGGTAACAGATGAGCCGACCCACGAATGGCCTGCGCCCACACCCTTGCTGTACGTATGCGAACCAACATATAAGTTTCCATCTCTTATACATTCTTTATGATATATTCGTATAAATGTAGACAAGGCCGGGACTTCCAGCTTGTTCTGAAACGAGTGAAATTCTCCTTGGCCCACCTCTCCCGTTAGGGCTTTTGAGAATTCTCAAAAGTCGCACCAATATAGCTGACTTCCATTTTGTGCTGAAACGTGTGAAAACTCCATGGCCCACCTCTCCCGGTAGAAATCTTTACAGTAAATGGCAACACCAGCATTATACCTTCTGATGCAGTCACTGTCTCTCGTCTTTCCCTGCCCTCCTTTTTTCTCACCTTCGCTCTTTCCCTCGTTCCCTCCTTCCCTCCTTCCCTCCTGATGCCCTCATCCTATCAGGTATGGCTTCAGCCCAGCTGTTGTCGAGTGCCCATGTGAGTATGCATGCCAGGCCATCCCATACCATACCATGTCAACACTCACAGCATGGAAAGGTTTTGGGCTCACTTTTGAGTCGACTCAAAAGTTTGTCGAGTGCCCATGTGAGTATGCTATACATGCCATGCCAACTCAACACTCACAGCATGGCAACGTTTTGAGAATTCTCAAAAGTGATTCCCATACAGCCCGGCTGTTGTCGAGTGCCCATGTGAATATGCTATGCCTGCCATGCCATGTCAACAGTCACACAGGTGTTTTGAGTCACTACTATCAGAGGCAATAAGGCTCCCGGAAATAATCACTCCGCCACTCGAATTTGTTCGTTGAGGAAAGAATAGTCGCTCAAGAACCACCCCCTCCAGCCGCTCCCTCCTCCTGCAGCATACTGGCGTTCATCTGTCAAGGTCTATTTTCGAGGCTCCTCATGAGTCTTGTTATGAGGCGCCTCAAAACAAGACGACTCCTGCAGCGTACTGGCGTTCATCTATCAAGGTCTATTTTCGAGGCTCCTCATGAGTCTTGTTATGAGGCGCCTCAAAACAAGACGACTCCTGCAGTGTCCTGGCGTTCATCTATCAAGGTCTATTTTCGAGGCTCCTCATAACTGGACCCCCCTCCTCCTCCTCCCACTGTCCGCCCCCCGCTCCCCTCCTCCCCCGCCCCTCCCTCCACCCCCCCTCCCTTGCAGCGTACTGGCGTGCATCTATCAAGGTCTGTGGTTTCTGGTTCCCTCCACCACACCAGGGCCTTCCATTAGATTTGCCTCCTGCAGTCCCAGCAACAGCAGCAACCGAGGCAGCAGCGGCAGCAGCCGCAGGAGCAACAACGGCACCAGCAGCAGCATCAGAAGCGCTGGAAATGGAAGCCAGAATGCGAGTTCCGTTGAGGAATCATATTGCCTCTGACAGTACCGAAGAGATGGTAAGGCGTTCCAACTGCAATGCTGCCAACGATGTATATCTCCGGGTTTCGTTTGTCTGTTTGTTTGCTTTTCTTTTGGGAGGGAGGGGGGGGGGGGGGTAGGCTGGAGGGGGGCGAGGGGAGGGGATGGGGGATTTCTGTTTCTCTAGCGACCCAGTTTTAGGTTCCGCAGCGCTAAATCGGCTCGTCTATTATTTGATGAGTAAAAGCCACCTCATGAGTAAAAGCCACCTCTTAAGCACATGCAATCTATTTAAGGTGAAGACTTGGAGTTTCAACGGCTCCTCACGGCCTGCTTTCCTATTTTTCATCCATCCTGTTGCTTTCCCGATGCATCTCCGCTCCCATACCCCTCTCCCATTCTCACTCTTAGCTGCTCTTCCAGTACTTCCTCCCTCCTCATTGCCAGCGAAATGTGGTGACGTTTGAGTCGACTAAAAAATCACCCCGATGCATCTCCGCTCCCATACCCCTCTCCCATTCTCACTCTTCTGTCTCTGCAGCTGCTCTACCAGTACTTCCACCCTCCTCGCGTGCTGGGCGTACCGCGTAGCCAGAACAATGTGTTCTATGTGGGCTTCAGTTCCATGGGCAGGTGGGTGATGGGCAGGTGGGTGGTGCAGGGAGCAATAGAGATGGGGTACGTTGTACCATAGCTAGCCGCATTCACTCACCGTATGCTTTCATGTCAGGCACGGCACCACCACCAGAGCGATGTGTTCTATGCGAGCTTCAGCTCTACGTATGGACAGGTGGGCATTGGAGAGGGGAACGGGGACAGGGTAGTTAGTTTCCCCATAGTCACCTATGCGGTTAAGCTTATAGTTAATGTCCTCCGTACTTAGTTTGGGATTGCGGAACTAAAGTCCAACTCAGTTATTATTCCTCGTGCCGACGATGCTTGTCGCGCATTTCTATACTTGACAGCATAGATATGCGAGACAGTATAATTGCATTGGAGTGTAGCCGAGAACAGTATCGAGCACAGCCATAAGGGATCTAGCCTGAGGCAGGAGGCAGGAGGCAGGAGGCACGAGGCGGACTTGATGGCCAGGGAGAGGGTCGGAAGCAACTCAACGGAGGTGCGACAAGGCGAGAGTTAGACGAGAACAGCAGAGCCTCATGCAGGCGAGGCGCAAGCGCGGGTGACCTGGGGAGGGAAGGGGCCAGCTGGCTGAAGATGGGCGTGTGGGGGATCCAGAGTATGAAGGGTGGAGATTCTCTCTTGTAAATAGGTAGGTTGTGGGTCTTTGATTTTGTGTGCTATGTCGGATGCATGTGAATGAGAGTAAGAGCTAGCGCAGGAGTAGAGCGAGACTCTCGTCTCATTCAATCCCGACCCTAGGCAGGATGCACCTTGTAAATAGCAACCTAGGGTCCGAATGATTGAACGAGACGAGGGTCTCGCTCTACTCCTGCGCTAGCTCTTGCTCTCATTCCGACATAGCACACAAAATCAAAGACCCACAACCTACCTATGTACAAGAGAAAATCTCCACCCTTCATACTCTGGATCCCCCACACGCCCATCTTCAGCCAGCTGGCCCCTTCCCTCCCCAGGTCACCCGCGCTTGCGCCTCGCCTGCATGAGGCTCTGCTGTTCTCGTCTAACTCTCGCCTTGTCGCCCTCCGTTGAGTTGCTTCCGACCCTCTCCCTGGCCATCAAGTCCGCCTCGTGCCTCTTGCCTCGGGCTCGCTCCCTTATGGCTGTGCTCGATACTGTTCTCGGCTACACTCTAATGCAATTATTCGCGCATATCTCTGCCGTCAAGTACAGAATTGCACGACAGCTGTCGAAGTTTTCTTGCCCCATCCTTCTCCTTCTCATTCTGTCCTCTGCTGCCCCAGGTGTGCTCATGGTGAAGATGACCGCGGAGGCGTTCTGTCTTCCTCAGACGCTGTTCTTGTGTATTGTCCTTCAGACGCTGTTCTTGTGTATTGTCCTTCAGACCGTCCTTGCACGGTTTTTGAATGTTATGGGTCTCCTTGCCCCCTTCCGTGGCCTGCTCAGCTCCTGCTGCGGGTCCTTAGGAACCTGATCCGACCTCTTGCCCTTGGCGCGTGCCACCCTGCTTTGCTCCTGTCCACCATCATCCCCGCAGCTAACCTCAATTTACAAGCCCCCCTCCACTCCTTCTGTCCCTCCCATAACAGCATGGGTCTTCTCCCCCGCCCTGCGTTGCTCCTCGCCACCATCATTGCCGCAGCTGAAGCCCTCAACCTGCGAGCCGTGGTCGTGACAAGTGGCGACAGCGCATTGGAGGAGGCAGTCGCTGCAGTGTGCAGGGACGAAAAGCAGCACGTGCAGGAGCAAGAGGAGGAGTGGCGAAAAAGAGCAGCAGATTTGGTTGCAAGGGGCAGAGGCGAAATGCTGTCAGTGGATGAGAAACGGTGGCTGTTGTCCCAGCGACCATCCCAACCAGCACCACCCCAATTGTCAACCTCACCGCTCTTGCCTCTCGGCCTTCCCAGGATGTTTGCGGGTGGGATGGTCCTTGCCCTTCGGGGGTGAGTCGATACCTTGTTCCTCTTTTCTTTGTCACATGCCTTTCAAGGCGAAAGCACCTCAGAATCGTCTTTGCTTGTCACATGTGTCGACTCAGATTGAACGATGCTGTTGTGTTTTCGTGTTCCATCTGTCTCACAACAGACAGACTATTCACGTCACGGTTTGTCTGTTGTGATTTCTTAAGCAACAAAATTAAAACACAACTACTGTTGAAGTGTAGGCTACATGCTATTTTGATACATTCTGACCGCTCTACATGAATGTCAGGTTGCGTTGAGGTGTCTCAAGTCTCCTATACTGTCTTGATGCTATGTACCATTCCCCCCTTCACGCATTTCCAGCCCTGTCTCTCACGAGTGGCTCTTCCCCCGCTGCTGCTTTGTGCTGCACCATGCCGGCAGGTGGGTGGCATGGGGTTGTGGGGGATGGGAAGGGGGGAGGGATGGAGGAGGGGTGGGGGAGGGGTGGGGGACGGGAGGGAGGAGGATTGTGGGGGAGCGGTGGGGGAGGGGTGGAGAACGGATGATATCGGGCATTTCTGCAGTTGGCTGGCGGTCACCATGCGTCCGTGTTGCTTGGCATGCTGTCCTTCTGCCCTTCATTTTCGCCTCTGCACACCCATACACTCCACCCGCCCATGCACCCACATGCACCCCTATGCACCCCCCTACACTCCCCTACACCCCCGTGCATCCTCATGCAACCCCATACACCCGCATGCATAACCATGCACCCATCTGCACCCATCAGCGCCACCACAGCAGCAGCACTGCGAGCAGGGGTGCCCTAGCCCGTCGGTCCCTTCATCCCCTTCACCCCCCCAATGCCCATATCTGTACCTTCACGCAGCCCCATGCACCCATCTCCACCCACCTGCACCCATCAGCGGCACCACAGCAGCAGCACTGCGGGCAGGCATCCCTCAGCTCCTCTGCCCCTTCATCCTCGACCAGCACTACTGGGCAGACCAGGTCCCTCCCTCCGTCCCTTTGCCTGCATGTCTGCATCCCCCTGCACCCATCTCAACTTATCTGTCTGCCCCGATCTGTGTATGCACCCCGATCAGCGGCACCACGGCAGCAGCACTGCGAGCAGGCGTGCCCCAGCTCCTCTGCCCCTTCATTCTCGACCAGCACTACTGGGCTCACCGCCTCTGCTACCTTGGGGTCGCCCCCCCTCCTCTCCGCCCGTCTGACCTCATGCCTGTAGAGTCGGCGCACCATTCACCAGGTGAGAATGATTGCCTAGCCGGTTAATTTCCCCCTCAGCTTCCCTGCCCCTCCTTTCATTCTCGACCAGCACTACTGGGCTCACCGCCTCTGCTACCTTGGGGTCGCCCCCCCTCCTCTCCGCCCATCGGACCTCATGCCTGCTGACTCTGCACACCAAACAACAGGTGCGTGACTGCTTGTAGAGGGTGTGGGACGTGAGGGTGAGCACTGCACTCTGCTCGCCCCAGCTCTTTACACGTGAGGGTAAGCACTGCACTCTGCTCGCCCCAGCTCTTTACACGTGAGGGTAAGCACTGCACTCTGCTCGCCCCAGCTCTTTACACGTGAGGGTAAGCACTGCACTCTGCTCGCCCCAGCTCTTTACACGTGAGGGTAAGCGCTGCACTCTGCTCGCCCCAGCTCTTTACACGTGAGGGTAAGCACTGCACTCTGCTCGCCCCAGCTCTTTACACGTGAGGGTAAGCACTGCACTCTGCTCGCCCCAGCTCTTTACACGTGAGGGTAAGCACTGCACTCTGCTCGCCCCAGCTCTTTACACGTGAGGGTAAGCACTGCACTCTGCTCGCCCCAGCTCTTTACACGTGAGGGTAAGCACTGCACTCTGCTCGCCCCAGCTCCTCTAGGACCAGCGCTACTGGGCTCACCGCCTCGGTTTTTGAGTTGACTCAAAAAGCGACTCATTACACGTGAGGGTAAGCACTGCACTCTGCTCATCCCAGCTCCTCTAGGACCAGAGCTACTGGGCTCACCGCCTCGGCTACGTCAATGTTGCACCCATGCGATCACCCTTTCGAGGCGCCTAAAAAATGTTGCACCTGTGCGATCACCCTTTCCTTGTTGTATTCGTATATCACATCTCCAGCGTTCATCACATTTGATGTGATGGACCATGTCTCTCTGCCCATTTAGCTGGCCACACTTCATATATTGTACATCTCTTGTTTTGAGACGTCTCAAAACACTCTCTGCCCATTTAGCTGGTCACACTTCATATATTGTGCATCTCACTGTTCTGCACACACCTCACGTTCTTTATTCTGCATTTTGCTCTACATGTTTCTCGTTTTGCCCCATCACCTGTTCACCTTTCTGCCTCTGATACCATATCTGTCCCAGCAGTAGCAACCGTCGTGAGTCGCTTCGCTGCTGCATTGGGTGTGGGCATGAGGGAGCGCGCACAGGAGCTATCACGAGAGATACAGACAGAGGTGCGTCTCTTGGATGACTGACGGTTGATTCTTGGGAGTGATGCTTGTGTGTCTCTAGGGTGACACTTGGTTGACAATTTCATGATTGAGTAAAAAATCACATGGGTGCCACAGATACTGGCATGATAATGCGACCCTCTATGCTGCGGGTGTGTGCTGCCGTGCTGCCATGCTGCCGTGCTGCTGTGCTCCCGTGCGGCCATGCTGCCGTGCTGCCATACTGCAATGCTGTGTGTGTGTGTGTGTGTGTGTGTGTGTGTGTGTGTGCCGCTGTGCCGCTGTGCTGCTGTGCTGCTCAGGATGGTGTATCAGTAGCTCTGGCTGCAGTAAGGAAGGAGCTACTCAAGTGATTTGCAAGGCTTCACAGCTACCGACATTCTTCACAGCTACCGACATTCTTCATTAAGGCGCCTCTACTGTAGTACCCAAAGAGATTCAGTGACCCAAGAGCGGGGATCAAGCAGGCTAGCCAGACCACTTTGCAGGGATTTGTTGCAGTTACTCAAATCTTGTAGAAAGAGGCTGTTGTTGGTTGTCAAGTTCGTCACGGGAAAATCCATACATTTGTCCGGAACTGGAAGGCATCTCTGACCCCCCTCACATCTTTTACTTTTACACATGATCCACACCAAAGTTTCCAGCTATGGCATACATACATTGAGTGCCGCGACTTCAAAGGAGCCTCAAAATTTGACTTATGAGGCGCCTCACAAACCGAATCAAACCAGCTTAGACGTCCTCCTGTCCGTTACAAGAAGCACCATGTGACGCTCATGCCTTGTCCCCCTCGTCGTCCGAATCATCCCCCCTCTCCCTGAACCTCGGGTTCTTCTGCACACAACCACCACACAAGCAGATTCCGATGCATTTAGGGTTGTTTCAGAATCGAGTGAGACCGTGGTGACTGAAGAAAAAGGGAGAGATAATTTTCAATTGTCTCACCTTTTGGTCGTCAGCAACCCCTTCTGCCCCACCCTCTCCTCCCCCTCCTCCCTTACCTCCTTCTCCTCCCCCTCCTGCCCCTCCCTCCCTACCACCTCTCCCCTCCCCTCCTTCCCCTCTTCTCTCCTCATATCGCGCCCGCCCACCCCCGTCCCTGCCCCCTCCTCGCCTCTCTCCTCCCTCCTCCCTGCCCCTCCGTTCCTCCCTCCCCGCTTCTTCCATCTGCTCGTCGTCGTCTCTCCCTCTCTTCCGCATCCCACCGCCTCCTCCTCCCCCACCTCCATCTGCGATTAGGAGCGAGAAGGGGAGGGAAAAGTGGTCATGAGTAATAGCCTCTGTAGTGTCTGTCGGTCGGTGTGATAATTCTCCCATCACACTTATCACATGTCATGATTACATACTTACAGTGATACACATTATAAACAGAGCTGCTTACCTCTGTAGCCGCCCCGCTGCCTGTCATCCCTTGAGTAACGCTGGGCCCTCCCTGAGAGGGACAGACAGACACAATTGGGGAGATGGAATGAGATGGAGTGAGATGGAGTGAGAGCGAGAATAATGAGTGACAGCCGAGAGAGGGGGAGAGGAAACAGATAAAATGGAGAGGAGACAAGCAGAGTGGGATTATGGAGGAGTAAAAATGGGGGGAAAAGGGAGGATGGGGGGGAGTGGTAATAGGAGAGGGGGATGACAAGTCGCTAGGCCATATGGTGGCACATGGGCTATCGGAGCACAGAGGGCGAGAGAGACGTGATAAAAGTTGTATTTTGAGACGTCTCAAAATACATGTCGCTAGGCCATGTGGTGGCGCATGGGCTATCGGAGCACAGAGGGCGAGAGAGACGTGATAAAAGTTGTATTTTGAGACGTCTCAAAATACATGTCGCTAGGCCATGTGGTGGCACATGGGCTATCGGAGCACAGAGGGCGAGAGAGGCGGCTGTCTGCTCATGTTTGCGAGTGTAGGCAACGCTATGCATGTACGGTGGCTTGCACATGGCTTGGCTTGCACGTGGCTTGGCTTGCACGTGGCTTGGCTTGCACGTGGCTTGGCTTGCACGTGGCTTGGCTTGCACATGCTTGTATGACTCACTTGGTCCCGGCTGGTTCCCCAGTCACTGGCCCATGCGGTGGCTCATGGGTTGTCGCCGCACCGAGGGCAAGTGGATGAAGGAGGGAAGAACTCCCACCCCCTCCTTTTAAAAGAATGTATGGTCATGTGGTCTGTCTGTGTTAGGTGCATGGCCTTTCAGGCACTCACGGGGTCCCCGCTGGTTCCCCAGTCGTTGCTGCATGCGCTGGCTCATGGGCTGGCGGGGCACAGAGGGCGAGTGGCCAAAGAAGGGGGAATTACCATCCCTCCTCCCACCCACCAAGGGGCATGCATGGTGGTGCAGGGGGTGAGTGCAACGAGCAAAGGTGCAAGTCAAGTCAACGCCACTCACTGGGTCCCTGTTGGTTCCCCAGTCGCTGCTGCATGCGGTGGCTCATGGGCTGGCGGGGCACCGAGGGCGAGTGGCCAAAGGAGGGGGAATGACCACCCCCTTCAGGGGCATACCTATGCTTATGTATGGTGCCTTGCACATGCACTGATTACTCACGGGGCCCCTGCTGATTGCCCAGTCGCTGCTGCATGCGGTGGCTCATGGGCTGGCGGGGCACAGAGGGCGAGTGGCCAAAGGAGGGGGGCATGCCTCCCGGGCTCCCCCCCTCTCCCGGCATGAAGAGCGGCGCTCCGTACTGCTGAATGGCCGCTATCTCCTTCTGTACCAGCTTGCCGTAGCCTCCTCGCCGTGCAGTAGGGGAGGGGAGGGGAAGGGGCGCACATAGGGAGAAAGGGAAGCGCAGGGGGAAGAATCATGGGCATCCACAGCACAGAGGGGACTCCCCCCCTCTCCCGGCACGACGAGCGCCGCTCCGTACTGCTGAATGGCCACTATCTCCTTCTGTACTAGCTTGCCGTAGCCCCCTCGCCATGCAGGGAGGAAAAGAAGAGAGGGTAGGGAGCACACAAAGGGA